ATAAATATCTTATTTTGTAGCCCTGGCTGGCTTGTAACTTGCTGTGTAGACCAGACTAGCCTGGTACTTACAGAGGTCCATGTGCCTCTGCTTCCCGAGTGCTGAGATTAAAGTGAGTGCCACCACACCTGGCCATTATTATTATTATTATTATTATTATTATTATTACTACTACTACTATTATATGGGTTCTGTGGCTGAAACTTGGGCAAGCACTACCAACTGAACTATCTCCAAGCCCTATTACTTCTTTATTTTCTATTTCTTAAAAAAAATTATCATTGGGCCTTAGAGATGGCTCTGTAAGAGCACTGGCTGCTCTTACAGAGCACTTGCATTTAATTCCCAGCACCTACATGGTGACTAGCAACTGTCCATAATTCCAGTTTTGAAGTAACTTTTAATTTTTTGTTTTGGTTATTTTGGAGACAGTCTTCCTATAGTCCCAGCTGGCCTGGAACTTGCTGTGTAGACCAGGTTAGCCTCAGTCTCATAGAGAGCTGTCTCTCTCTGCCTCCTGAGTGCTGGGATTAAAAGTATGTAGTATCACACCTGACATAACGATTTTTTATATGCTTTTAGTTTTATATAAAAGTATATACCTTAACCCAGATTAAACAGTTGTTTATATTTTGATGTGTCTGCTTTGTCATTGTTGTGTGACACTATTCCTGGAGCAACTCAAACAAATGTCTAACTCGCCCCAGATAGGGAACTGGTGGTAGACCAAAGTAAGGATATTACTGAAGTCCAACTTGGTGATCTAGTGAGCTTATTGTAGTTACTTAAAGGGACAGAAATGACTCAAAACCACCCCAGAATGGCGCTCATGAAAACTGGAAACCTGGGGACACATTGCACAACTTGCAGACAGCTGGCTAGGTATGTTTCCAGGCAGCTCCACTCTTCTCTACTCTTCCAGGTGGCTCAGCTTATGGAATGTCTCTCAGTAGGCCTTAAGGTTTATATAGGCTTGAGGAGGGAGGGACCTAGGGGATCTTCTCAGTTTCAGAGACTTTCTGAAGCATTTGAGTTGTTTACTTCCTGAACTTAACAAACTTCCTTATAGGTTGGAATGTTCCCTCCCCCCCCCCCCCTTTTTTTTTTTTTTGGTCTTTTTGAGACAGGTCTCCCTGTAGCCCCAGCTGACCTGGAACTCACTCACTATGTGGACCAGGCTGGCCTTGAACTCACAGAGATCTGCCTGCCTCTGCCTCCCAAGGGCTGGGATTAAAGGTGTGTGCCACCACGCCTGGCTTTCCCTCCCTTTAGAACACCCATCCTGAGGAGCTTCTCTGTAGGGTGAAATTACCAACTCAGGAAACTGCTGTGCAACAGTCATTCTTGCTCCCTTTTTCCTCCCTCTATATAGTGATATATAGGTGACATGCAAAGCAATATATAGTACATGTGTATACAATACAATATATAGTTATAACCATATTGTCATAGTTATATACTGTTACTTATATATAATGTATATAACTAGTAAAATATATAGTGTACCTTGTTCTCTGTGCATATTAACACTTCATTTCCTGTTTGTTGTTTCTTTGAGACTCTTTGTGATACATTTTTAAGAGAAAAAAATATTGGGAGATGATGCTGGAGATTGAACCTGGGGCTTCACACATGCAAAGCATGTTCTCTACCACTGAGCTGCACCCTCAGCTTAAAAGAAAATGATTGATTGGCAATTTATAATTTGTTTTCCTAACTCTTGTTTTCAAGGCAGTTAATTGGACTTTATACCATGGCTCACAATCCTAATATGACCCATTTGAAGATTAAACGGCCAGTTACTGCCCTTCCTCCCCTTTGGGTGAGATGTGACAGTTCAGATCCTGAAGGTACCTGTTGGCTGGGTGCTGAGCTTATCACAACAAATGAGATGATTACAGGAATCATCTTATATGTGGTCAGTTGTAAAGGTGAGTGCTTACTCTTTGTGTGTGCCTTTATTTATATTATGGTTGTTGTTCGGTGTTTTGTTTTGTTTTTCCTGAACTTTGATATTGTTAAGAGAGAAGTATAACAGCAGGACATAGTTGACCATGTGAATCTACTCTAGTTTGTGACTAACAGGAGACAGGAAGTATTTCAGAAACACCAGAAAGTGGATAGGAGGTTATGTCTACTTTGTTTGGGTTTCATTTGCTCTGTACACATTTTTTGAAATTTAGAGCCTAAAAAACTGAATATAGCTAGAATATATTATATTTTCAACTTGGCATGAGGGTTTGAGACAAGGCTGACCATGAACTTGTTTTTCTCTACTTCAGTCTCCCAAGTGCTATTACAGGCAAGTAACAATACTCCCTAGCCACCTCCCCCACCCCTTTTTTTGAGGTGCATTCTATGTTACCCAAGGTAGTCTCAAACTTGTTTGTTCAAATGAGCTTCCCACCTCAGCCTCCCAAGTAACTGAAAATACACGTGCATGCCAGTATGCCCAGCTATTTAATTTTGCATTTCTGTGTGTATAAATGGATCTTTTGCTGCTGCTGCTGCTGTTGTTGTTGTTGTTCTTCTTGTTCTTCCTTCTTCCTTCTCCTTCTTCTTTCTTCTTCCAGTGTCACTATAACCCAGTCTAGTCTCAAATTCAAGTTCCTACTGCCTTGGCCTCCTGAGTGCTGGGATTTTAGGTGTGAGCACCACAGTTTGCTTTTGTTAAGTTTTTGATGGTAGTATTGATTTGTTCAATTTCTAGTTTTATTTTAATAAATATTTCATTATCTGCAATTTAAATTCTAATTATTAGTGTTAAATTTAAGAGATTATAACTTTCTAGTTCTAACAGTATAATTTTGAATTACATCCTTTTCTTCTTCTTCTTTTTATGCCCTATAGCTGATAAAAATTACTCTGTATGTTTGGAAAATCTAAAAAATTTACACAAGAAAAGACATCATTTGTCTACTGTAAGTATTTTCTGTTAGTTTATTCATACATTTTTTTTAATGTGTGTGAGTGTTTTGCCTGCATGCATATAAGTGCACTCATGTTGTACAGTGCTAGTAGAGGCTAGCAGAGGGCACAGATCCCCCAGAACTGGAGTTAGGGACAGTTGTTAGCCTCCATGTGGGTGCTGGGAACCAAACCGAGGTCCTGTACAAGAATAGCCAGTGCTTTTAACTGCTAAACCATCTCTCTAGCTCCTAGTCACAGGATTATTGATGTGATCTGCTTTCCTGTCTTTTAGCTAATGTTTGTGACTTAAAAGCACTATCTTATTTTTCCATTTTGGAGGAAAGTGTGATATATGGTACTTTTTTTATTTTTTATTTTGGGACAGAAATTAAGGTAGTTTTTACAATGGACTTCTGTGCTTGAAGTCGTTTCTAGTGGTCTGCCTGTGTCTTTTCTTCAGGTAACAGCCAGAGGCTTTGCTCAGTATGAGCTCTTTAAGTCCACTGACTTGGATGATACAGTCACTCCATCACAAACTGCAATTACTTTGGATCTTTCATGGAGTCCTGTGGATGAGATTCTTCAAACCCCTCCCCTGTCTTCAACTGCAGCTCTGGTAAGAGCTTTGGGTTGCTAAGGCTCCTGAGTGGTGGTTTACTTGTTCGTTTGCTGATACTATGTATTCCCAGCCCTAGCACTTACTGAGTATGAGGTTGTACAACCCAGAAAGCCTTGCCAGGCTCTTGGGATCTCAACCAATGGAGGTTTTACCAAGTAAGCTGAGCTATCAATTGCTCACAACTTCATTACTATGGAATTTAAGTACTTTCTAGTAACTATCAGAGTCCTTTGGGTAAAGACTCCAGTGGAGTCATCAAAATTTCTTACTTTTGCCAGGCTTGGTAGCACTGGCCTTTAATCCTAGTGCTCAGGAGGCAGGGGCAGATGGGTCTTCTTGAGTTGGAGGCCAGCCTTGTCTACGTAGTGAGTTCTAGGCCAGCCAGCATTCACATAGTGAGAGTCTTACTAAGTTGCTTGAGGCTAACTTTAAACTTGCTCTGTAGTTCAGGCCAGCCTTGAACTTGTGATTTCTTGCCTCAGCCTCCAGAGTAGCTGGGATTATAGGACTACACCACCAGGTTTGGCTCTTTTACAGACTTCAAAAAATTAGCTGGGCTACAAGGAGACCCTGTTTCAAAAAGACCAAAATTTAAAAAAAAATGTGGGGCATGGTGGTACATGCCTTTAATCCCAGCACTCAGGAGGCAGAAGCAGTTGGATCTCTGAGTTTGAGGCCAGCCTAGTTTACATAGTGAGTTCCAGGCTAGCTGGGGCTACTAGGAGACCCTGTCTCCAAAAGACCAAGAAAAAAAAATCATGTTTTGAGCTGGAGAGATGTCTCAGTGAGTAAAGATACTTGCCACCAAGGCTGATGAACTGAGTTCAATCCCTGGAACCCACGTGGTGAAAAGAGAGAACTTCTATCTGTGTGCTGTGGTACATGCATGCATGCACATACACAAATGCAATGAATAAATGTAATTTTTAAAAAGATCTTGTTTTAGGAAGACTTTAGGGCTAGAGATATACCTCAGAGGTAGAATGCTTAAAAAATAACAAAAAAAATGCTTATATTAAGCAAAAAAAAAAAGAAAAGAAAAAGGAAGAAGTTCAAAATAGTACTACTATGGATCTCAACTATGTTTTGTGAAGAGTCTTTACCTAGAAGCCTGGATAGTGGTAAGGGTTTTCTCGGAGGGTAGGATTGAGATAATCATATTTGTGTTTTTCTTTTTCCGTAGTGGGAATTTATATATATTGACATTTCCTTTTTCTTTTCTTGGGACATTAAGGTTGTAAAATACTGCATTGTTGGTTTTTGTTGTGTCCTCATTGAGTTTTGAGGTACTTGTTTACATTTTTTCCTGCCTTGTCCTCTTAGAATTCCCTGAGGAAAGGCAAGCAAGCACCTGGGGGGTGGGGGTGGGGGCAAAAGTTCTATCTTCCTGGTTCAGAGGAGGGCAGTAGGCTGAATTCAGGTTGCTGTCAGGATAGCAAGATCTGTAGGCTCTCTGGGTAAGATTTTCTGAGTGTGGTATGGGCTGAATTTAATTCATTGGTGCTTTATGAAACATAGTCTTTGACATGTGGATGGTTCGAAATACAACCATCTGTGGCTCTTGGGCAGAGAAGATGGGATTACCAATGAAAACTGATAGTCTTTGGTACTTTTTAGAATATCAGAGTGCAATCAGGAGAGCCCAGAGGCTGCTTAAATCATCTTTACAGAGAACTGAAATTTCTCCTTGTGAGTATCCTCCTATATTTCTAATTTTCATTATTAAATTACATGTTTTCATGAAAATGTTTAGCAGTATAAATTTCACTTCTTTGGATATTTTTTTTTAAATGTTATGTATTCATTGTTGTCTTGGCAACTTGGACAGTTTAACTTTACTTGTGTGGCACTTGTCCTCACGGTTTAAGGGAGCATTAGTTAGATAATAGCTGCACTCTTTCACCTTTCTACTGGGCTGCTTGCATGTTACTCATATGAGTAGGCGCCAGTTATTCCAAATACATATATAGTTATCTGTGGATAACTAGAATTTTGATTGATACTAAATATTAATGAGCAAATATTTCAAGAAGTTTATTTTGTTTATTTTCTAGTATTGGGGATTGAATCCAAGGCCTTGTGAATGCTAGACAAGCACTCTACCACTGAACTACATCCCCTATTTTTAATGTTTTACTTTGAAACAGGCTAGCCAAATTGCCAAGGCTGAGCCTTGAAATCACTCTGTAGTCCTGGCAGGCATTGAGCTTGGAATCTTCCAACTCCAGCTTCCCAAGTAGCTGGGACTACATGCTGAGAACAGGCCCAGCTTACAGTTTTGAGATATAAATTACACCCCATATTACATCCCATTGCTTAATGTAAGTGTATAATTCAATGTTTTTAGTATATTTAGCTGTATAGCAATCACAATTCAATTTAAAACATTTTCATTACTCCTGAAAGAAAGCTTGTATCCATGGTGCCCATTAGCATTCACTCCATACCGCTGCCAGCTTCTGGCAACCACTTTGTTACTTTTTATTGTCAAATAGCATTTCATTGTAAGGATATACCATACCTTTGTTCATCCATTCATTAACTGATGAACATTTTAGTTGCTTGTATTTTGGGCTATTATGAATAATGCTGCTGTGACTGTTGTGTGAACGTGTATTTTCTGGGCCACAGTAGCTGTGTTTAACATCTCTCCCCTGACACACACAGATTGAAACCCTGGTTGTATTGAGGGTCTTACTGTGTTGCTCAGGCTGTTCTCCAGTAAACTCAAGGGATCATCCTACTCTAACCTTCTGAGTGCTGGGACTACAGTACATGCCACTATACATGGCTCTGCTTATCTTTTTCAGGAATAGCCAAACTGCAACTGTTGCCAAAGTGGCTGCACCATTTTACAATCCAACATTGTATAGGCTTCTGATTTCTCTACATGCGTGCTAACACATGACTTGTGTGGTTTGGATTATAGCCATCTTACTGGGAATGAAGTGGCATCTAGTAGTTTTGGCTTGCATTTCCCTAATAGGCCAACATTGAACATAATTTTGTGCACTTGGGTTCTCTTTAAGCTTACATTCTCCTTCTATTCCTGATGAAATTATAATGTTTGCCATGTTGAACTCCTTGCTTGTGACTGCAGTTGTGTCACACTTTCACTTTCTGCTATGTGTATCTTAAGCTACTGGATGTGTATTTCTCCCATCTCTTTTCTGGGTGAGCTCTTCGTAACATCTCACCTAGGATGGTTGCACTGATCCCCCACAATGTCTTGTGCTGCTCTAGAGCTATAACAGTTCTCCTGTCATTGTTTATCTGTTCTAGTTTGTTTCTCCATTGCTGTGACAAAACACACTGACCACTTCCAACTTGGGGAGGAAAGGGTTTATTCAGCTTACATCTCCCAGGTCACAGTTCATCAGGGAGCCCAAGGTAGGAACTCAGGACAGGACCCTGGAGGCAGGAACTGGAGCACAGGCCATGGAGGAACATTACTTTCCCCTGGCTTGCTCCCCTGGCCCCTGCTCAGCCTGCTTTCTTATGCAACACAGGCCCACCTGACCAGGGATGGCACCGCCCACAGTGGGCTGGCCCTCCCACATCACTCAGTAATCAAGAAGGTGCCCCATGGGCATGGCCACAGGCCAGTCCAATGAAGGCAATTCCCCAATTGAGGCTCCCTCAACCCAGGTGTGTCAAGTTGACATTAAAGCTAACCAGCACAATCAAGCACAGTAATTTGTTTCTACCCATCTCTTCTGCTAGATTTTATGCCAGGTACCTTGTTATCCTCTCACTATCTAGCAAATTACCAACCACATTTGATGTTTTTGCCTTTGCATAAAACTGAGGGTTTGATTTTTCTCACTTTGTTTTTTCTTGAAAGTCCTTTCAGGACTTTTCTTTTGGGCTTGAGTCCAACTTCTGGTCTTATTCTCTGCCCCTTTTCTCCCTACACTTGTGGAGAGCTAGCAATTCAGTGATTACACTAGTGCTTTTATGAGCAGACCACAGGTTCCCATCTTCAAGCTGATGCCAGTTCCTGTCTTTGCTCAAAATTGCTCCCCACTTGGGTAGAATGCTATTGCTTCAACTCAGTGTGCCACAGTGAAGCTTGGTGTCTTCTGACTAGACCTCTGAGCAGCCCCTCCTGCGTCTATCTGTGCTTCTGTGCTCCTTCAATTTCCTGGGCTAGAAATCTTCTATTTTACTCTACTAAGAACCACTATCTCTACCACCATCACTTACTACCACATACAGCTAGGAGCTGTCATTCTGCTATGTGTCAGGTGATGATGCTGACTGTGTCTGTTTTTTTTCGCCTGAAGTGGTAACAGCTGATAAATAGAAGAGCTCAAATTCTTTTAGATTCATGTCTGTCTGATCCAGAAATCAGTGCTGTCTTAAACTCTTCCTTTAAAAATCACAGCGTCAGGGCTAGAGAACTGGCTTAACAGTTAAGAGCACTGTTAAGACCCCAGTTCAATTCCCAGCACCCACATGGCGGCTAACAGCCATCTGTAATTCCCATTCCAAGGAATCTGACACCCTCTTCTGGCCTCTATGGGCATTGCATGACATGGGTGCACTTATGTATATGCAGACAATACACTCAAGACACATAAAATAAAAATAATAAAATATTTAAAAATAGCATCATGGGGCTGGAGAGATGGCTCAGTGGTTAAGAGCACTGGCTGCTCTTGCAGAGGACCTGGGTTCAATTCCCAGCACCTCCATGGTGGCTAATAACTGTCCATAACTCCAGTTCCAGGGGAAGTTAACACCCTCTTCTGACCTCCATGGGCATCACATGACACGGGTACACTTACATACATGCAGGCAGTACACTCATACACATAAAATAAAAATAAATATTAAATAATAACAGCATCAGCAGAGATGATGGTATATGCTTTAACCCCAGCGTGTGGACAACTGAGGCAGGAGAATCAATCAGGCTACATGTGACCTTGTTACCAAAAGAAAAAAGAAGAATCACAGAGCTATAGAAGTGTGTGCAGCCATAGTCTTTTCACGTTTACTTCCTGTTTTATAAATGAGTAAACTTTTTGATTCTTACATATACCTCCCCCCTTTATACTCTTTTTCTCCTTTGAAGTCTTTGAATCTGTGCCCAGATTTTTATTTGTTTGATTTCACTTCTTTATTACAGTTTATTTCTTTTGTACATGCATGTGTGTTTGTGTGTACATGTATAAGGAGGTCAGAAGATGGCTTGTGGGAGTTGGTTGTCTCCTGCCATGTGAGACCTGTGGCTAGAACTCAGGTCATCAGGCTTGATAGTGGCCACCTTTACCCACTGAGCCATCTCGCCTTCTCTTACGGTGCCAATTTTAATTAAAGTCCTTGTCGCTCCCATCTGGCACAGTCTTAAGATCATTTCTCAATAAAGACATGGCATTTTGTGCACTGCACCAGTCTTTGTGATTTGGACCGTCATACACATAGCAAAATGTTTAGCACCACCAAATTAAATGCTTTAGTCATTTAAAAAAATTTTCTTTACCCTTTTTTGATGTTTTATATTTATTGTTTTTTTTGTTTTTGTTTTTTTAATGTGTGTTTTTGGGGGTTTTTTTGTTTTTTTTTTTTTTTGAGTCAGGATGTCCCTGTAGCCCCAGCTGACCTGGAACTCACTATGTAGACCAGGTTGGCCTCGATTTCACAGAAATCGGCCTACTTCTACCTTCTGAGTACCCTTTTCTGTAGATTTCTCTTTTCTATTGAGAACATTTTTCTTTTCCTTGGGTACAAAAGAATTGTTAACTGCTTGATCCTATCGTTTTCTTGTCATTAAGTCAACAGCAGTTATCATTTCCCATATGAAACAACAAAAAAAAAAACTTTTGAAAAATGTTTGGATTAATTTACCCTTGTTCTAATTTGTCTTGTCCTTCTAATTCTCTTTACACTGTTTCTCTGCTCTGGTTGGAATCATTCCTCTTCATATTTCCCCATACTCCTTCCCTGCTGTGCAGCCAGTGGTCCCCATATCTTAGTACTTGTAACAGAAGCCTGTCTTCATATACTCTTTATTCTTAAAATATTTCTTAAAAAGAAATGTTATCATAATATTATTAAATATATCCCTATTAATTAAACTACAATTTCTGCTAACAAATTCTCTGGCTTTTAAACTGTTCTACAGGTTTTGGCTGATGGTTTAAGAACTGGTGTGACCGAATGGCTTGAACCTCTGGAAGCAAAATCTGCTCTTGAACTTGTGCAGGAATTTCTAAATGGTGTGTGTTTTTATAAATCACTCTTGTTTACTACTTGTTTTCATTTGAATACTTGCTACATTTAAATAGAAGTTGTTTTGAGCCAGATGTGGTGGGGCACACCTTTAATCCCAGCACTCGGAAGGCAGAGGCAGGTGGATCTCTGAGAGTTCCAGGACAGCCAGGGCTACATAGTGAGACTCTGTCTAAACATGTGTGTGTGTGTGTGTGTGTGTGTGTGTGTGTGTGTGTGTGTGTGTGTGGAGAGAGAGAGAAATATATTCTTTTGGTTAGAATATATTATTTTCCCCTTTAAAAAGACCCTAGCTCGCGACCCAGGCAGACATTTTCCCTGCCTGGAAGGGAATCTGTCCTATGTGTTCCCCTTTTAAAAAGAATGTATTATTTTAAAGCTGTAATTTGACATGGTTGGAGGGACAGCTTTTTTGTTCTAAAGATCTATGTAATTATAAAAATTAATAAGATTTGTTTTCTTTGAGCTGAGCCTGGTGGCACAGGCCTGCAATCTTAGCTACTCGGGAGATTGAGGCAGGAATATTGTTAGCTTGAGCTACAGAGTATATACTCTGTTCAGTACCCACCAACTTAGTGACACCTTGTCTCAAAATAAAAAATACAAGGTAGAAAGGAGGCTGGGGATGTAGCTCAGTGGTAGAACACTTGTCAGAGGTGCCTCAGGTCCTAGGCTTGCTCAATCTCCAGGGCTGCAAACAAACAAAAGATTTAGTTTAGAATTAAAGACAATGTATTTGGGATTGTAGGAAAGAGTGACAAACAGTAGTCTCAGTGTCTGCTGTGTGCCTGCTGTCACAACCTTACATGATGGATAGCTACGTTAGTTTCACTGGAGAATAGTAGTTTGTTAAAGTCTTATATACTACCATTCTGCTTCAACATAGGATTAGGTTGGAAATAATCTGAAAAGCAGAAAAATAAAATCAAATTAATAAGTTTTTGCTACTTTCTAGACCTAAATAAACTGGGTGAATTTGATGATTCTGTGAAAAAAGACACACAGAAAGAGGTAAGTGATTATTATTAGTTAGAAACATGGCCTGGGACTGTTTTTAAAATTTGGTTGTTCTGTCACCTTTCATACTGTTCCATCTCAAGTAAATTTAGTTCAGTTAAACGTTTATGTATTAGTTATTCAGCTATGGGGAAGTAGAAACAATTAAGTTAGTATGTTAGAAATGGTATTGCTATAGTATGCTGATACAGCATGCTATGTTACTACATTAGGAAAATAAACTGGTTATGTTTTCATCTGATGAAAAGGAAATGGAGACAGATGGTTTCATAAAGTGTTTTCATGTAGGGGGCTCACTCTTCTCTTCTCTTTTCTTTCTTTTTTAAAGACAAGATCTCATTATACAGCCCTGGCTGGCCTGAACTCAACTTGTAGACCTGGCAGGTCTTGAACTCACAGAGAATCACCTTCCTCTGCCTCCCAAGCTCATTGTTAAGGAGTATAGTTTGTTGTTTGTTTTGAGAAAGTGTTTTGCCTTGTTGTCTACACTAGTGTCAAACTCAAATTCCTCCTGCTTTAGCCTCTTGAGTATTGAGGCTATGGTATGTACTACCACCATATCTAGTTAGGCATTATCATTTAAAGCAACTTTTTTTTTTTTTGGTCTTTTTGAGACAGGGTCTCCCTGTAGCCCCAGCTGTCCTGGAACTCACTATGTAGACCAGGCTGGCCTTGAACTCACAGAGATCCACCTGCCTCTGCCTCCCAAGTGCTGGGATTAAAGTTGTGCGCCACCACACCCGGCTAAAGCAACTTAAAAAAAAAAATTATTTATTATTTTTACATATATGTGTGTAATGCCTGCATGTATGTAAGTGTAGCTGTGTCATGCAATGCCCATGGAGGTCAGAAGAGCGTGTTGGATTCCCCTGGAACTGAAGTTACGGACAGTTGTTAGCTGCCATGTAGGTGGTGGGAGTCAAACCCAGGTCCTCTGCAAGAGCAGCCAGTGTTCTTAACCACTGAGCCATCTCTCTAGCCCCAATTTAAAGCAACTTTAAGAGTCTAGTTTTTCCACACTCTATTCATTTATATCTCTGTATTAGTGAATGAAAATTTGTAGAAAATAACACTCCTGACATTCTTTGTTTATGGGTCCATGGTTCTCAGAGCATCATTTAATAGCCTACTCCACTTTAAATATAAGTACTTAGGCTAGAGAGATAGCTCAGTGGTTAAGAGCACTGGCTGCTTTTGCAAAAGAGCTGGGTTCAGTTCCCAGCACCCACATGGCAGCTAACAACTGTCTATAATTCCAGTCCAAGGGGATCTAACACCCTCTTCTGACCTCCGTGGGCATTATATGACAAGGGTGCACCTACCTACATGCAGGCAGTAGACCTAATATACTTTGAAAAATAAAAATATATAAATATAAACACTCCGAAAGTTCCCTGACACTTGTTCTTTTTCAGACAGTAAACCATGACGCTGCTGCAGTTGACAGGTCTGTGCTTATCACAGTGAGGGAGGATCTCGATTTTGCTGAACAACTTTGGTACAAAATGAGCAGCAGTACGTATCCATCATAATTAAAATGACTCTGTTATTTAAGTCTTTTGGAAATGATGCAAAGTACGCTATTAGTCTTATGTGTAGCTCTGGTTCCTATTTTATTAAATTTACTTCTTTATTTTATTTATATATTTTTAATTTTTGTGTATGAGGTTTTTTTAAGTTATTTTTATGTGTATATAAAATGTGTCTTTTATATACACATACATAAATATGTATAATTTTATGCGTGTATTGTCTGCATATAGGTAGGTGCACCCGTGTTGTGCAATGCCCTTGGAGGTCAGAAAAGTGCATCTGATCCCCTGGAACTAGAGTTATGGATGGTTGTTAGCTGCCATGTAGGTGTTGGTAATCAAACCTGGGTCCTCAGCAGCCAGTGCTCTTAACTGCTGAGCCATCTCTCCAGCTCCAGTTTTTGAGTATTTTACCTGCTTGTATGCAAGAGCACCTGTGTCATGCAGTGCCCATGAAGACCAGAAGAGGGTGTCATCCCCTGGAACTGGAGCTATGGATAGTTGTTAACCTCCATGTTGGTGCTGGGAACCAAACCCCAGTCCTTTGCAAGAGCAGCTAGTGTTCTTAACCACTGACCCATCTCTCCAACCCTAAGCTTTTGTTTGTTTGTTTGTTTGTTTGTTTGTTTTGGTCTTTTTGTGACAGGGTCTTCCTGTAGCCCCAGCTGGCCTTGAACTCACAAAGATCCATCTGCCTCTGCCTCCCAAGTGCTGGAATTAAAGGTGTTTGCCACCACACCTGGGCCTAAATTTATTTCTAATAATGAGTTAGCATTCTCCTCAAATATTATACTAACAGAAAGTAATTTATACATCTGTAGTCTTCTGCCTTTTTTAATTTCTGTCTTTTTGAGACAGGGTTTCCTTGTAGCCCCAGCTATCCTGGAACTCACTATGTAGACTAGACCAGGCTGGCCTCGAACTAAGAAAGATCCACCTGCCTCTGCCTCCCAAAGTATAAAGCTTAACTGGATTTGTGTTGTATTTGCATGAACTAAAACATACCCAAATAAAGTTAACAATTATTGAATAAAATAAAAGACTCCTGCTAGATGTGTTGTTATTTGGCAATCTGAGTGATGTCTTTCTATAAGAATACATTGTCATGCTGGGTGTGGTTGTGCATGTCTTTAATCTGAGCATTGGGGAGGCAGAGGCAGGTGGATCTTGTGAGTTCAAGTCCAGCCTGGTCTACAGAGCGAGTTCCAGTCCAGCTGGGGCTACAAGGTGACCCTGTCTCAAAAAGACAGGAAAAAAAAACAAAAACATTGTCAAGGTTTGTTTGTGTTTGTTGTTTTGTTTTGCTTTCCTTTTTAAATTCCCCCACTCACCGATAAAGTGCAGATTTTTGTCTTCTGTTTCATTTGTATTGTTAAAATTAATGACATTGTTGAACAGTAGATACGAAAATAATTTCAGTGTGATTGGGTTTTGAAGGTGTGGTTTCATATCAAGACTTGGTGAAGTGTTTCACATTGATCCTCCAGAATCTACAGCGTGGTGACATACAGCCATGGGTAAGTTGAATAGTGTGGAATAGAAAGTTTTTCTCAGTGGTGTAAAATAGAAACTAAAGCAAAAATGGCATGTTAGGTAAGAACACAGGTACTGAGCAGACAACCTAACTTGACTTCCAGGTCTGCTACTTTTTAGCGGGATAATTTGGGGAGACTCCTTCATTTCTCTGCACTCCACTGTCCTCCTCATCTGTAATCTGAGAATTGGAATCATACATATGTGATGGTGTTTTATAGGGCTTACTAATTTAATGCATGTGAAGTGCTTGGTGCCTGGCTCCCTATGTATAAGCTGCTGATCCTGTTAATTGTTGTATGAATGAATATTTTCATATACTATTGAGGAGAGTAAAAACTAGCTTTTTGTAAAAAGCAATTCTGATGCTGAATTGAGATCCTCAAAATGTAACACGTCCTTTGAATCAATAATACTTGTTAGGATCCACCCTACACTCATATATAATAGTGTATATCAAGACTGGGCATGGTGGCACATGCCTGTAGTCCCTGCATTCGGGAGACAGAGGAGGTTCACAAGTTCGAGGTCAGTCTGGGCTATATCATGAGACTGTCTCAAAAACAAAACAAAAAATGTGTGTGTAGATTTTGTGCATTAGAATAGTTATCATAACTTTGTTTAGAGTAGCCAAAGATAGTAATTAGATAAATTTCACTTGTTAACAAGATGACTAATAATAATATAGCCACATAACGGCATGTGTAGTAATTGCTAAAGTGGTGCTGACAAATGATATAGAGTACACATAATTGTATAAATGGTATGTTTTTGAGAAAAAAAAATTCTAGAAATGGGATCAATTATTAGTAGTGGTTACCTTTGGGACAAATGACTGTCTTTTCTTACTTGATGAATTGTCTGTACTTTATTAATTTTTTCACAATAAACTTGTGCTACTTTTACAGTAAACAAAAAGTGAAAGAAAGGGTTAGAAATAACTTACTAGGCTTGGGCATGGTGCCACACCCCTTTAATCCCACTTCAGAGGCAGAGGCAAGGATCACTATGAGTTCAAGGCCAGTCTGGTCTACAGAGTGAGTTTCAGGCTGGTTGGGGCTGTAGGGAGACCCTGTCTCAAAAAAACTTTATTAGGAAATAACTTATTAGGAACTATTTTAAATAATGTTAATTCCCAATTCATGACTAAGTTAAATTTTAAAAAATATTATTTTTATTTTATGTGTATGAGTGTATTACCTGCGTGTGTAGGTGTACCCATGTTGTGTAATGCCCATGGAGAGCAGAAGAGGGTGTAATGGATCCCCTGGAACTGGAGGTACAGATGGTTATTAGCTGCTGTGTGGGTACTGGGAATTGAACTTGGGTTTTCTGCTCTTAACTACTGAGCCATCTCTCCAGCCCCTAAGTTAAATTTTTAACTCTCTTGGGAGTTTCTGTTTTTGAGGTGTTTACCAGTGTGAGCCTACTGTACAATGAGTGCAAACCAAGGCAACCAGTTAAAAAGAGCAAATGCAAAAGACTAGAAGGTGAAGTACAAGTCACAGGAAGATGGCGGTTTATGAATTTTAAAATTGAGTTGGTTACCATTTAGTGCATATGTAAAGTCTGAGTTTATAGCTCTTTCAAATTTGTAAATTCTCCTAGCCAAAAAGTAATTATGCATATCCATGGGCCTTTGAGGGGCAGGATTTGTGTTCTTGCAGCAGCAGACTTGCACTGTGGTGAGGGTGTTGAAGTTTGGAAAAGACACCCAGTAGTACTTAAAATATCTAGAAGCAGGTCTCAGTTGTGAAGCTTCAAAGGACCAACTCTGACTTCTTGGTGAAGTTAAGCTTATCACTGAGAGGTGAAACCCTCCTTAGCTGCTTGGATTTTCAAAAAACAAATAAAGTTGGAATGGCTTTTTCTTCTTTTTGGGGGGGGGCGGGGACAGTCTCAAACTCACGGTGTAGACAAGGATGACCTTGAACTTCTGATGTGCCTGCCCACCTCCTGAGTGCTGGGAGTACAGGCATATGCCAGCACTTCCAGGTTATGTAGTGCTGGGGATGGAACACAGGGCTTTGTGCATGCTAAGCAAGCACTTCACCAACTGAGCCAGCTGAGAATGACATCTTAGAAACTGTAGCTTGTGGGGGGAGGCTTTTATTGAACAATTTATAGTGTCAGGAGACTAAGAATGTAAGGTTATAATTTTGAGCTCATAGCTAATGTAGTTTTCTTTTACTTACTACATTTATTTATACTTCGTTTAGGATTGTATACAATTTTTCTTGATTTCTAGCTCCACAGTAGGAGTAGCAGTTTACTGAGTAAGCTCATCCATCAGTCCTATCATGGAACCATGGACACAGTTTCTCTCACTGGGACGATTCCACTTCAAATGCTTTTGGAAATTGGTTTGGACAAACTGAAAAAAGATTATATCAGTTTTTTCATCAGTAAGTCCTTTTCCCAATTAACTTAAGGCCTGTCAGTTTTCATACAGAGATATCCATAGATTGTACCTTTCTACATTGTCCCTGGTTGTTTACTGTGAGACCAGCATTTCCCTTCTCTGAGTCTTTCCCACTTGGTAAAGATATTACATTAAATTTAACTATAGGTTTTTGTTGTTTGCTTTTAGTTAAGAGATTTTTATTTTTATTTTTTAATGTAGAGTGTGTGTGTGTGTATTTGTGTGTGTTCGCATGTGGAGGTCAGAGACAATTTGCAGGAGTCAGTTCTTTCCTTTTAACATGTGGGTCCTGGGGAGTGAACTCAGATTGTCAGCCTTACTGGCAAGCACCTTTACCTGCTGAGCCATCTCACTGGCCCTAATTATGAGATGTTTAATACCTAACACTTGATACTTTTTGTTAGGGGCAACTTATGATCAGTTTCAAAATAACTATTAATATGTATATGATGTAATTTGGTCTTTTGTGAGGAACTATTTTAATATGACCATCTCTTTAATTAATGAACTATGAAAATTTCTATTTATATTCATTAACATGTAATGGAAAATTCCTAAAGCTTATATGCATGTGTTTTTCTTGATAGGTCAGGAACTTGCATCTTTGAATCATTTGGTAAGTTTATTTCATTCCAAACATGGTTTTTCTTTTGTCTAGTCATTCTGCATACAGTTAGTAAATGCCCATAATGTGCCAGCCTTTGTCTAGGTCCTAGGAAGCATCAGTAGGACAGTGATGTCCTTGATTATTATTATTAGGGTAAATGAAAAATACCTCATTTAATATCATTTCTCATTATATATTTATGACACTGATATATAGTTATTTTTTGTCGAAACCAATACACAACTCTAACTTACTGAGAATTAGGGAATGCCATTGAACTCTATAAAGGAGCATTTATTTTATATCCTTTTTACCCATTTATACTACATTTGAAGGATTCTTTTCTAAAGATGTTATGACATTCTTTAATTTATTGGCTCAGAACCAGTCTCAGGTCCTGAAGTTGCTCTCTGCCTTTATCACGCCCCCAATAGCATGGCAGCTTGTTCTTTCAGAGCAGTGAAAGAGCTACTTCCTGCACGTACTTCTCTGTCTTCTAAAGGGCTTGCCTGGTCAGGTTAATGTAAGGACCAGGTGATAATCTCCCTTGTTTAATGTATGGTAAATTCATTGGTGACTTAATCTAAAACCACATCATGTTTACAGGTTCTCAGCTCACTGGAGAGGAAAGAATTGTGTGAGGAGTATATTCTAGGAGACTGGAATCTAGTGGCCGTTGTCAAAGTTTGCTTATTGTTTTTACCATGAATTTTTATGTTGGGTCTCAGAAATAGGAGAGTTTAAACAGTTATGGTACTGATATAGTTTGCCAAATACCTTTTCTAAAAGCTGTATTAATGTACCAGCAATATGTGCAAGTGGAAGCTTGTCAAGACACTTGATTAGTTTCTCAAATTTGATTTCAGCAAGTATAGAAGATTCAGAATCATAGTCCAGATTAGCCATTCACTCCACCCAGAGAGCCTGCTGGGAGTGTGGGCTACTCACTTGGATCTCCTTGGTGAAGCAGCTCTGCCTTTACCAAAGACTGTGTAACCATCTTCATACAACATTTTAGTGAATACCTTAGTTTAAAAGGATAGTAGTGAAAAGTGGTAAATTCTTTGTGGCTACCTGCTCCCTGTTGTCCCCTCACTATTAGCCATCATAGAAACTGGATATATGGGTGTAGTCATCCTTACTCTTTCCAAATGTTCTGCTTATTCTCTGATTCCTTATTCTACTTATGCTTCTTTCATTCCAGGAATACTTCATTTCTCCATCAGTAGACATACAAGAACAAATTTATCGTGTTCAGAAACTCCACCATATTCTGGAAATATTAGTCAGTTGCATGCTTTTCATTAAACCTCAACATGAACTTCTCTTTTCTTTAACACAGTAAGTATTTCTTTTTGTTTTGAGAACTGTCTTACATTTATAACTCAGGCTGTCCTCTTGCCTCAGCCGCTCAGGTGCAGGGATTGCAGGTGTGAGCCATCAGCTCGCTGTTAAATATTTCCCTGTTGTTTGTTATGTAAAATATATTGTCTTCTGAAAAATGGCAAAGTAGTCAACAGTTTTTTTTTGTCATAGTCTAACCTCCTTTCCTGTCCTGATGTTAGTGTGGTTCTAGGTCAGCGTCATAGGAAGGAAGGTTTTGGATTGAAAATAATCAGATTTGACAGTTTCTAACTTCTTGTGTTTTTTTGAGACAGGGTCTCACTATATAGCCATGTAGCCCTGGCTGGCATAGAATTCACAAAGATTTGCTTGCCTCTGCCTTCCAAGTACTGGGATTAAAGTTGTACATCACCACCACTTCTGGCCTTTCTTTTTTTTTTCTCTAAGGTTTTTATTTATTTTTATTTTTTTGGTCTTTTTGAGACAGGGTCTCCCTGTAGCTCTAGCTGGCCTGGAACTCACTATGTAGACCAGGCTGGCCCCGAAACTCACAGAGATCCGCCTGCCTCTGCCTCCCAAGTGCTGAGCTTAAAGGCGTGTGCCACCATGTCTGGCCTTAGCTATAGTCTTAGCCCAATATGTGTTTTGGTACATTTCTCAAAATGTGTCTACTATAAGTTTTAAAAAGTTAATGGGATTTCCTTGGACAGAAAAAACATAATCCAGGGGATTTCAGGGGAATGTTTATTTTATTACTATTATGACTCTGAAATTATTGTTTTGTTGATATCATAGTTATTGGTACTCAGTAAAATGTTTCCCTGCACTAGAAAGCCTTTTTCTTTTCCAATGGCTTTTTCCAAAAAGACATTGTTTGGTTTTTTCTTTTTTAGGTCCTGCATAAAATATTATAAACAGAATCCTCTTGATGAACAGCACATTTTTCAGCTGCCAGTCAGACCAGCTGCTGTAAAAAACTTGTATCAAAGGTAAGAAATTTAGTAAGTTCTACGTCAAGTCCAGCCATAGTTCCTGGTGGTTTTGGGATCAATGTCCCAAGGGATCTTATAACCTAGCACTGCTTAACCTCTGAACTTGGTCTGTGTCCACTGTCTGACCAAGTCTGATGGTTCTCCCTCTTCAGACTGTGTATCTCTTTAGACTTCATTTTGTTTTTAATTTATAGTTCTTACACAAAATTGAGGGAGAAGTAATAGCTAGGAGGAAGTGACAGGTTGAGAGAAAATGATGATAGGGACAACAAGGCCAGGCTGAGGCTCTGGGAATGAAAGTCAATAGGATAGTCTTTTACCCTGAGGTTCCTGAGGTTGCTGCAAATGATGGATTTCATACTTTCCCTCCTCATGTATGATCTGAGATGCTTCTCATACTGTAGTCCTATGACATGTGCCCTCCTTTTGATTGATGCCTTCCTAGGCAAACTCCTGTTACCTAAAAGCGCTCTGGCAAAGGTCACTGATGGCTGCTTTTTGTTTGGTTGTTTGGTTGATTTTTGAGACAGGATCTTGCTATCTAGCCTAGACTGGCCTTGAACTTTGCAGTCCTTCTGCCTCAGCTTTCCAGGTACTAAGATTATAGGTGTACACCACCACATCCAGCTACAAATGGCCTTTTAATTTGCCAAACCCAATGGACACCTTACAGAAAAAGAATTTTTCTTGGTACTAGTCACAGTAGCCAAAAAATGGAACCAACCTAGATGCCCATCAACAGAAGAAAGGTTAAGGGCACATATACACGATGTAATTTTATTCAGCCATGAAGAAAATCAAATCATGGCATTTCAGGAAAATGTATGGAACTAGAAATTAATTATATTAAGCAAAATAAGTCAGACTCATTAAGACACATACCACATTCGGACCCTAGATTTAAATTTGTGAGTGTGAGTATGTACATTTGTGTGTGTGTGTGTGTGTGTGTGTGTGTGTGTGTGTGTGTGTGTGAGAGAAGAGAGAGAGAGAACAAGAGAACGAGAGAACCATAAAGGAGACCACGGGAAGGGAAGAGATCTTAAGATAATTCAGTAAAAAAAGGTAATGGAGCATATGTGACCTAAAAGAGAAAGGGAATTATTTGGGGGAATGAAGGGGGCCAGCAAAAGGGGCCAGGGGAGGTCACTGGGGGACTGGGGCAGATAAGAACAAAGTACATAGGAGAATGCCATGATGGGGGCCGGGGAGGTGACTCAGCTAAAAGTGCTTTATGAGCAAGCCTGAAGACATGATTTTGATTTTTGAAACCATGTAAAAAGTCAGATATAGTGGTACACATCTGTAATCCCAGCACTCCTAAGACAAATTGGGAGACTTGTCCAGGAGAGCATACAAAAAATTTGTGCGACTAAATAGGCTTTGTATATGCTATTCAGCTTCATTTAACAATTCTACAATGTGTGTGTGTATATATATATATATTTTTTTTAAAGTTATGTTTTATATATCAATTTTTATTTTCAATTAAAAATATGTACATTTTTGTCAGTTAAGAAATTAAATGGGGCTAGAGAAATGATTCAGTGGTTAAGAGCATTGACTGTTCTTGCAGAGGACCAAGGTACAGTTCCCAGCACCCACATGGTGATTAACAACCATCTGTAAGTCCAGTTCCAGGGAATCCAACAATCTTTTCTAGCCTCCACAGGCAATGTATACATGGGTGCACTTCATACATAAAATAAAAGCAAATAATTTTTTTTTTTTTGGTCTTTTTGGAACAGGGTCTCCCTGGAGCTCCAGCTGGCCTGGAACTCATGTAGACCAGGCTGGCTTTGAACTCACAGGTATCTGCCTGCCTTTGCCTCCCAAGTACTGGGACTAAAGGCGTGTACCGCCACACCTGGCACAAATTTCAAAAAAAAAAAAAAAAATAATGGGAAGGGGCAAAAAAAAATTGTTTAGCTAGCCTAGTAGCTCTTGCCTGTATCTCCAACACTTGGGAGTCTGAGGCAGGAGGATCAAGAGTTCAAGGCCAGCTTGGACTACATAGGAAGACCTTGTCTCACAAATCAAAGTAGGACAGTGAGATGGCTTATCAAGTAAAGGTGCTTGCCACCAAGCCTGATAACCTGAGTTCATTACCTGGGACCCACATGGTAGAAGATAACTGACTCCTGCAAGTTATCCTTTGACCTTCATGGCCACCCCATATACACATGCGTATACACACGCACACACACACAAATGCAAAACAAAAGCCAAATCAAAATAGGGCCCCCAAAAGATGGCTCAGCAGGTAAAAGAACAGCTTTCGTGACCTGAATTTGATGCATAGAACATTTCAAAAAGTCACAAATGGTGGCTCACATGTATGATCTCAGCCCTAGCATTAGGGAGCTAGGAGGCAGAGGCAGGAGAATGTATAGGAAGCTCACATACTCAGCAGTGTGCAAACAGAAATAACAAGCGAGACCCTGCAACCAAAAACAAGGTAGGAGAGAGCCGGCGTGGTGGCGTGTGCCTTTAATCCCAGCACTCAGAAGGCAGAGGCAGGCAGATCTCTATGAGTTCAAGGCCAGCCTGGTCTACATAGAAAGCAAGTTCCAGTTTACAGGAAGACCCTGTCTCCAAAAAAAAATAGGAGGAAACTGACTCCTGAACAGTTGTCCTCTGACCTCCATGTGGGTGCTGTGGCATATACATGCCTATATATAATAAATAAAAACAAATCTTTTTTAAATTTATAGTGTGTGGGTTTGCCTGCCATGGCATGTGTGTGGAGGTCAGAGGATGACTATGGAATCAGTTCTCTCTTTCCATCTTTTATGTAGGTTCTGGGGATCAAACTCTGGTTGTCAGACTTGCATCATCTACCCACTGAGCCATCTTGCTGACCTGAAATCTTTTAAAAAAATAAATTTTGTTGTTTGGTTTTTGAAACAGGATTGCACAGTGTAGCCCTAGCTAGCCTGAAACTCAAAATGTAGACCAAGCTGGCCTCAAACTCACAGAGACTGCCTCTGCCTCCCAAGTGCTGGGATTAAAAACATGCACCTCCATGCCTGAACTATGTTAAATGTTTTTGATTTTAAGTTCCTCATTCCTTCCTCCTGTATTTTATCTTAAATACAGTTATTAGCCACCTCATCCTTCAAAGAGAAGCCTCGGGCCCACTCTCTGTTCACTTTGTCTTTTATCTTGGTGCCTCTTTCTTTTTCCTTTTCCTGTGTGTTTTTTTAGGGGAAGGCATGGGATTAGTGCAAGGTCTCACCGTGTAGTCTAACCTTGCCTCGAACTTGCTTTGTAGCCCAGGTTGGCCTTGAACTTGTGGACTTGTGGCAGGTCTCTTACCTCAGCCTCCCAGGTGCTGAAATTATAGGTGTGGGCCACCAAACCTTACATAGTATTTCTTTATTAGTGCTTTGTTTGCTTTTTTTTTTTTTCGGTCTTTTTGAGACAGGGTCTCCCTGTAGCCCAGCTGGCCTGGAACTTGTTATGTAGACCAGGCTGGCTTCGAGCTCACAGAGATCCACCTGCCTCTGCCTCCCAAGTGCTAGGACTAAAGGCATGCACTACCATGCCCAGCTGTTAGTGCTTTTTTCAAAACCACTTTTCATTGAAATGTTAAATATATTCTTATTTCTCCCCATCTTTACTGTGCTTTTCAAGGGTGGGAATTGTGACCTGTTTATGTTCCTCTTCAGTGCTGATCACATAAGGATGTCACTAAGTGACTGTAGAGGGCTGGAGAGGTGGCTCAGTGGTTAAGAGTACTGGCTGCTCTTTCAGAGGACCCAGGTTTGACTCAGCACTCACATCACAGCTAACAACCGTCTATAACTCCAGTTCCAGGGGATCCGACTCCCTATTCTGACCTCTGTGGAAATTGCATGACGTGGGTGCACTTACATACATGCAGACAATACACTTATACACATAAAATAAAAATAATACATATTTTTTAAGTGATTGTAGAAGGAAGGAAGGGATAGCTGTTGGTTGGTTGTTGTTCTTTAATTCTAATTTTTTTCTATTTTCATTAGTGAGAAACCACAGAAATGGGGAGTGGAAATAAGCAGCAGTCAAAAGAAAGTGAAAACAATATGGCAGCTGAGTGACAGCTCTCTTGTGGACCATTCGAGTTTTCACAAGCCTGGTAAAGATCGTTTACGCTAAATTAAATATTATTGGGGAGGAATCATTGTTATAGTCCTTAGGAGTCTTTTCCTGTACATATAAAGTATACTTTAAAAAAAAAAATCCTGGCTTTTGTGCCAGTGTGAGGCTTAGAAAAATTGAATTCAAAGTGTATATTTACAAAGAGTGCTTTTCCTTTTATAAAAGCACTTTACTGAATGAGGGCAAGCAGTAGGGACACGGGCGTAGAGGTGAATGATGAAACGCAATGTTGGCTCAGACTGTGCACTGTGCACTTTAGAATTGTGGTGGCACTTCTTCCCTAGAGTGTTTTCTCTAGCTGGAATAGGAATGGGCATTTCTTGTATTCTGTCAAAGATGGTCCATGTTAGTCTTTTAGCTCTGAGTAATTAGGTGGCCAAGGAAGCACCTGTGAAACCCTTGTCTTCACGCACACTGATTATGCCTATCTCATATTCATTATGGGCTGTAAGTGACTACTTTCAGATATTACAAAGATTATCTGAAAATAAATTTGACAGTTTTCTTACAGGGCCTTAGAAGATTTCAGAGGCCTGAATCAGCCACTGATGTCAATACGTATAGTTTTATCAGTTTGATTTTTCTGCTTCTACAGATCAGAGGGGCTGGAGAGATGACTCAGTGGTTAAGAGCAGTGACTGCTCTTGCAAAGGACCCTGGTTCAGTTCACAGCACCCACATGGCAGCTAACAACTGTCCTTAACTCCAGTTCCAGGGGATCTGATGCCCTCTTCTGATGTACAGGTTTACTTACATACATGCAGACGAAATACTCATACACATAAAAAAAAATTAAATAAGTAAAAAATAAAACAGGTTGGAATTCCCTATCCAGGAGATGGTTCTTCTGCCCACAATGGGCAAGTCTTCCTATTTTAATTAACATAATCAAGATATCCCCTCCCCCCGGGCATGCTCAGGGCCATTTCCCAGGTGATTCTAGATTCTGTCAAGTTATATAGTTCATACTGACTATTACAGATACCCTGAAAGTTACTTGCAGAAATATTATTCTCTTCCAAATATATTTTGACTTGGGAACTTCTGTCAATTAAAGGCTCTATGTAAGTAAGAAAACTGCCAAAGTCCTAAAGAAACCAAAGAGTTTTCCCAGAGCCATCAGTTAAAGTCAAGCCATGGGTTTTCGTTTCTTTTTTTTTTTTGAGACAGGGTCTCCCTGTAGTCCCAGCTGGCCTGGATTTACTCACTATGTGCATACCTTTAATCCCAGCACTCTGAAGGCAGAGACAGGCAGACTTCAGATTTTATGAGTTCCAGGCCAGCCTGGTCTACATAGCAAGTTCCTAAAAAAGCAAGTAAGTTTGGGACTAGGAGTTCAGTGGTGGAGCATTTGCCTGGCATGTACAAGGCCTCTGAGTTCCGTACCCAGCACTGCAGAAACACAGAGAGGAGAAAAGAGGACCAACCACGTTAGCCAGCTATGCATACTCAAACTTGTAAGCCTAGCACTCAAGAAGCTCAGGCAGGAAGATTTTTGCTAGCTCAAAGCCAGCCCAAGTTATAGAGTAAGTTCCAGGCCTCCAGGCCAGCCTCTGATCTAAAAAAAAGACGTGAATACACATGAGACATTTTTAAAGATTAAACTTTTCATAAGGGAATTTATGTAAGATAAAGCCCAATGACAACTAAAAAAGCAGAGCATAGTGGACCTTATACTGTAGAGTCTTTTTGGTACAAGCTACTGGGAAACAAAGAGTAAAAATGATTTTGAATGAATGTTCAAACAGTTTGGTAATATTGACCTAATAACTCCTCTTATAAAATAAGGAATTCATGTGAAATCAGGCAGTGTGTGGAGTTAGAAATGCCTTCACGTTTTGGCTTAAATTTTATAACCTTGTCTCCCTGTTTAAAAAAAAACAAAGTAAAAAGCCGGATGTGGTGGTGCATGCATTTAATCCCAGCACCCGGGAGGCAGAGGCAGGTGGATCTCTGTGAGTTCAAGGCCAGCCTGGTCTACAAAGCAAGTTCCAGGCCAGCTGGGGCTACAGGGAGACCCTGTCTCAAAAAGATCAAAAAAAAAGTAAAAAAAATAAAAATGCTTTTACACACACACACACACACACACGGTTTTGTTTCATTTTGAGACAGTGTCTCCTCTACGAAGCTTTCCTAGCTTAGAATTTGCTATGTAGACCAGGGTGGCCTTGAACTTACAGTTATCTTCTTACCTCTAGCTCCCCAGTACTGGATTTACACATGGGCCCCACCATCATGCCCAGCTTACCATGATAGATTGTTTTTTAAAGATTTATTTTTATATGTCTGTATCTGTATGCCATGTGTGTACAAGTGCCTGAAAATGCAAAAGAGGGCATCAGGTTCTCTGGAGCTGGAATTAGGCACTTGTAAGCCCCCTAATAGGTGCTGGAATCTTGGGTCTTTTGGAAAAGCAGGATGCACTCTCAACCATTGAGCCTCTCTCCAGCCCCTGTGTCTAGAAGTTCTTTACAGATTTTGTCCTAAAGCAAGATCTAGTCTTGAAGGACTTCATTTGTAGAAGTTATGAGCTATTTAGGTATAGATATTAAAGCAAATTATAGGGCTAGTAGTATAAACACTTAATGCAGAAGTTTGACAACCTGAGTTTGATCCATAGAACCCATAGTGGAAGTAGGGACTTGACTCCTGAAAGTTGTCCTCTGACCTCTACACATGCCATGTACATACACAAATGCATATATATATATATATATAAAATAACACACGTGCATGTACATATGTCTACATACCCATACATCATACACACAATAGTAATTTTTTAGAATTATGGCCAGAGGTGGTGGTGCAAGCCAGTTATCCCAAAACGAGGAAGTGAAGGTAGGAGGGTCAGGGTTAGGGTCATCCTCAGCTGTCGTCAGTTTCAAGGCCAGCCAGGTGTACATGAGGCCCTGTCTCATCCCCACCCAAAAAAATAAATATCTGAACATTGCAGCACACCCCTTTAATTCCAGTTGTGGCAGAGGCAGGTGGTTCTCTAGTAGTTCAAAGCTAGCCTGGTCTATATAACAAGTTCTGTGCCAGCCCCTCAAAAACAAAACAAAATTATGCTTCATTTTGTGCCAAAGATACGTGTTTAAGAAATTAGGAGTTTTTCATTGGACTGAATACTTAGATCAAAACTAACTTTCAGTATATCTAATAATATTATGCTCTTGAGTAAAACAGTTGGCATCAAAAACAGGGAAACTTGAGAGAGAGTTTATACTTTTAGCTGCCATGGGAAGAGAGAATAATGATTTGGAGTTAATGGGGCAGAGAAACAGTGTCCGGTAGAGTGCTGCCCACTCAGTGGGTGCTCAGTAAATGGCAGTATAATGGTGAAAATATGGAAACCAAAACATTGGCCCACAAGGAAGTGGCCAGTCCCATCTAAATGCTAATGGGATCTTTGCTTTGAAATGCCCTAGTCATTCTTTGGGTCTTTGGGAGGGGAAAAAACACATATGCGTCTTAACTCTAAATTTACAGGTCCTAAGTAGACTTTCTTCTCTGGAATTATAACAGGATAAAAAGACAGTTATTTAACCCTAAGTTATGGCATGGAGAATAAAACAGTTGGTTCCCAAATGGAAAATCAGTCAATTTTTTCAAAGTCTACATTAAATTTTAGATTTTAATCATGCATTTAAAACATCTAGAAGACTTAACTATATAAATGAGTTGCCCTGGCCAAGTTCTGTCTAATAAATTCTCTTCAGGAGAAGATAAGTGCCATTCACACCAACTCTCGACTGCTCTGTTGTGCTGTGGTGCAGTGGATCTTATGCAGTGGAGGAGCCTCGCAGTGCAGCGTTTCTGACCTCACTATCTTTCTGGTTGCAGATTTTTCTGAGTTGACATTAAACAGTAGTCTGGAAGAAAGGACGGCCTTCATTAACATGGTTACCTGCAGCCAGGTGCACTTCAAGTAACATGTTGAAAGGTCCCCTGCCAAGGTATCTGTGTTATGCATTGTAATGTGTTGAGGACCTTGCCTTAGTTATGTTGTAAATGCTGTAAATGTCTACTCAATCTAGTAGGAGTGCAGACTAGTGACTGTCTAGCCAGATTATTACTCGGCATTGCAAGCCTTTAATTCCTTTTTGCCTTTTGTTGGCCACTTAATAGGTCAGTTTAATCCTAGAATCAGGGAAGTGAAAATAATTTTTAATTACTATTTTATTTATTTGTGTTTATGTATATGAATATGCATGTGGAGATCAGAGGACAACATGCAGGAATCAGTTCTCTCTGCCTACCATGTGTGTCCCTGGGATCGGACTCAGATGTCAGGTTTGGTGGCAAGTGCCTTTATCTCCTGAGCCATCTCACCCGCCCAAATTTTTCTGAGCAGCAGTATCTTTGCATTTTAAACCTGTAGTCTGATTTCAAAATCACTAATGAAAGAGAAAAATCCTAAATAGACATCCCAACTTGACATTGAAAGCAAAGTTTTGTTTAAAATGGGTTTTTTTCCAGCCCAGTTACAATGAACCCCAGATAGAAACATCTTAGTTTAAGCAAAAGGATTCATGGAAAACTCCCTTACTCTTTTTTGGGTTTCAGAAACACAATTAGATGGAATCTACTAATGTGTAAAATGCTTGCCCTTACTGTTCCCTTGTAAGCCATGTTTGTCCTCTAATACATGAAATTAATTTTAGGATACTTAAGAATAAAATGGACCTTTATTTTAAAACACATTCTTGCATGCACACGTGTATACATACACACACAGCTTTGTTGCCTGGCAGATAAATGTTTCTTTTACTGTCACAGTTCGGTACTGTGGTATTTCTTGGCAGTGGCACTAGTGTCAGTGAAGTGACTGCCATGTGTGGTTTGCCTCAGCAGTGCACATGTCACTTGATGCCCACTGGGTGCTTCTTCCTGGTGGGCTTAGTCTACAGCCTGAAAGGGTTATTGACAATGTCCATCAGATAGGACAGTGCTCAAATGACAGTCATTGTACATTAAAATGGTCTTTCTAGATAAATGTAAATGTGGAAAAAAAAAATCAAATTATAAAACTGTACCATGTTTCTACTTTTATAAAATGAAAGTGTGTATTTGTTATATAGCAAAATATTAACTCTGACTTTATGACTGTTGAGATTACAGGTCACTTTTATTTTTTGTATGCTTATTTTTATCTCTTAATTTTTAAATTCTAGCACAAACCCAAAAAGGGGAAAGGGGAAAAGGAAGTAATTATCACAGAGCCTGAAAATAGACATTATATAAACTTTCAATGCAGAAAATAGGTGATCCTGAAGATTCTCTGAAAGATGAAGGTGGAGTTGAGATCCTTTCTCAGTTGTGACTCTGGAGGAGGAGCATCGGCAGCAGGGCAATGATGAAGATGCAGAGGGTGCAGACTGTGGGTACTGTGATCTCCGAAGCCACATATATGTGCCTGAGCAAGAGCTCTGAAACAGACCAGAACAGTCCACCAGAACCGAGCTTTGTCCCGAAGCCTCGAGCTGTACTTAGAAAACTAAAGACGGGCAACATCATGGCTCTGCTTGTTCTTTGGTGGTGTGAAAGGGAGCAGCCCAGTTACATTAAAATTAAAATGTTAGATTAAAAATACAGGCTGGGGGGCACAGTGGAGAGGTAGAACACGTATTTGGCATATACAAGGCCCCGGGTTGGTTCCCCAGCCCCTATTCCCCAATATTATGTGAGGGTTGTAAACATTTCAGAAAAATATGGGAATGCCTAAATGTAATTCTTCCACTGTAACTTTAATAACCTTAATGTATATCAGTATTTATCCTCGCCACACATTAATCTCAAAATATTAGCAGTTGTATTCCATGGTTCCTGTAACTTTTTATTGAAGGATTTGTGAAAGAAAAATCCTCAGGAAACATTTCTGTCCTTTTGAATATGTTCTTGTATATATCTTAAGAAATGTATGAGTTAAAAAGAAAAAAAGAAATGTATGAGTATTAAAATTTTTAATGGTGATTCTGAAACTCATTATTTTGTTGCTCAAAATAAAAACATTAAAATCCTTGTGATAATTCTTTCTAGCTTAAAGAGCTAAATGATAAGCATATAGCATGTGCACTGATGCAGTAGTGAACCTCTTTGTCACCCACTTTATGTAACCCACTTTGGGCTGCTTGCTGGACACCCAGTTACCGAGATAAATGGGCACAGCCAGGTTCCCATGAAGTTCATAGACTTTTCAACAAATCCTGCATTATGGCTACATTGAGTTTGTTTTGGTTTCATGGGCTGACTATACACTAATATGGCCTGATTAGATATGGGGAGGCTGGTGCATGGTCATACACTAGCTTGTAAAGATAACCAGGTTGGGGGATTTGGTCTGGTACTGCCTGCTTTGGATAACACATTAAAGAATGACTTTAGTAAAATGGGAAGTGTATTTCTCTGATTGCTTTTATGGGGAAAGATAAATTCAGAAACATAAGTGGTAAGCATTGGCATTCCTGATGCAGTGGTGGCTATTCTGTATCTCTGATCCTTTTAGATCCCATCACCTAAGAAATGGTGCCTTTTAAGAAGATAGGAACATTACTTTGTTCATTGCTGTATCTCCAGGGCTTAAAATGAGTCCTAAATATTAGGGGTTGCTGAATAATTTCTTGCTGAAGCTGGACTTGGTGCAGGCCTGTAATTCTACTTGGGAGGCTGAGGCAGGAGGATCACAAGTTGAAGGCCTACTTGGGCTGCAGAGTTCGAGGCTATCCTGAGCAACTTAGTGAAGCCCTGTCTCAAAAAGTAGATATGTGCCATAGTGGATACTTTTAATCCTAGCACTTGGGAGGCAGAGGCAGGTGGATCTCTGAGATCAAGGCCAGCCTGGTCTACATAGTGTGTTGCAGGCTAGCCAGGGACACATAGAGACTGGGAGTTTAGCTTGCTTAGTATGTACAAAGGCCTGGCTTCCAGTCCTAACACCACAAAAAAAATTTTTGTAAGTGCTTGTAAAACAGAAACAACATTACTTTTAAGGGGAAAAAAAAATCCATTTTAATCATAAACAGATTGGGAAGACTGACCTTAGGTAAATCATTTTGAAATTTTGGTAATGCCATCATATGTAAAATTACTGGGTTTAGTTATCAAAAAAGAGAATATCCTCACCTGTGGCAAGCATCTGGTTGTTGATGGAGCACGTTTCCAAAGATTTGTGGTGCCATCTTTCTACCTAATGAAACCCCACTTGATAAGTATGGTTGTCTTACAATTTTTTTCCTGTTTAAAAATTTTTAGAGAGCAAATGTGAGGTAATTTAAAAACATTTTTACATGTATTTGTGTGTGTGTGCACATGCACGCATGCGTATGTGCAAGAGTCAGTTTTCTTAGCTTTCACCATGTGGGTCCTGGGCATCGAACTCGGGTCACCAGGCTTGGTTAGCAAGCACCTTTACCCACTGAGCCATCTCACTGACTTATGCTTGAGCACACTGTGTACTGCTTTAAAATTTTTTTTCAATAAATGTTTTGAGGGGCTGGAGAGATGGCTTAGTGGTTAAGAGCACTTACTGCTTTTGCAGAGGAACTGGGTTTGAATCGCAGCGCCCACATGACAGCTAACAACTGTCAGTATCTCCAGTTCAGGGGATCTGGTACCTTCTGACCTTCTCGGGCATTGCACGACACAGGTGCATTTACACACATGCAGGCAATACACCTATACACATAAAAATAATAAAATTAAGCACTTGGGAGGCAGAGGCAGGTGGATCTCTTGTGAGTTCAAGGCCAGCCTTAGGTATGTCAAGTTGACACTAAAGCTATCTAGCACAGTGAGGGGAGCCTGACTGTGAAGACAACTTGTCAAAAAACTGCTCCTGTGTTCTACAGTTTTGCCTCTTCCCCATCAAAAGGCAGCACCCAGCACTGCTTCCTTTTAATCTGGGCAGATTTGTGACTAACTGGTAATCAACAGATGGAGCCAGTGTGTTCTTTTGGCTTTTGTCTGAGGGTAGGTCAGGAAAGATGATGAATGCAGATTCTGCTTTGTTAGGTATGCCACAAACCTGGAGCCCTGCTACAATGAAGAAGACCATGAGACAGGCCCCATGGAGAGCTGAGGTCCTCCACATTACAGAATAGGGATAAGTCATCTCTCTTGGACTCTGTCCATATTCTCAGCCTGTAGCATTAATAAGCATCACTCCATAGTTGTTTATAATAATAATAGTAAAATTAAAAAATTTTTTGAAACAATCCATGTAGCTCAGGGTGGCCATGAGTTTTCTAGTAATTACAGTGTGACTTCCTGACACTGATTGCTACTGCCACCATCTCTAGTTCCACTTGGCTTACCATAAAGTAATTCTAATAAGTAGATTTGTTTTCAAAATTTTTTATTAAAACATCCTAGATAATAGTTTATAATCCCTGCTAATAGGTATAGTAACAGGCTAGATAGAGAGCAGGTGGGGGAATTTGTAGATTATTGAAATCTTGATAGCCTTTAAAAGGTTTGAGGGGCATGGTGGTGCATGTCTTTAATCCCAGTACTTGGGAGGCAGAGACAGGAAGATCTCTGAGATGGAGCCTAGCCTGTTTTACATAGTGGGTTCCAGGCCAGCTAGGGTTACAGGGAGACCCTGTCTCAAAAAAGGAAAGGTTAAATTGTTGATGTTCAATCTTTACTTGGAGCCAGTGCATTTACATGACTTTGCCATTTGGTGAGAAAAGAGATGATATACATTCAATTTACTGAAGTTTTTACATATTAAAATGTAAGTAGCACTTGTTTGCATAAAGGCAGCATTTAGCGCTGGGAATGTAGCTCAGTGGTAGAAGCCTTGCATTACATGGTATAAAGCCCTGGGCTCCATCCCTAGCTCCAGAAACAAAACCATTGACATCTTTATTGATTTTGTCCTATCATAGCCCAGCATGGATGGAGTTCCTGCATCACCCCATTCTCTGGGGGAAGGGACTGAATTGCAGCAAGCTCACCATCCTGAGCAGAGTTGGTGGAGAAGCAGGGGAGGCAAGACAAGCCATCATCTTCCTTAAAGGAAAGGGGAGGTTCTGGACACCTCAATGATTAGTTCTAAGACCAGGACAAGAAACAGGTAAATTATCCTACCTTGTATGGATTTGGAAAGCCATTGACAGTGGTAATCTTCCTGTAATACTGGATTGAAGCTTTGGGATAGCGAGGCTTGTTCCTTACGTTAAACTCAACGTAGTAAAACCCGTATCTATCTGCATAGCCTTTCTCCCATTCAAATTTATCCAACAAAGACCAGGAATTGTAGCCTTTTATATTCACACCGTCTTTTATAGCTGCAAAAACATTTGGTTCCATTTCTAATAAATTTCATCTACTTGGAAATACAAAGAAGATTAAAATGTTTTAATGAGCTTTAGAAGCAAGTTTTAGTTGATGGTGCATGACAGTAAATTTTGTCTAAATAAAAATGGGGGCTGGAGAGATGGCTCAGCGGTTAAGAACACTGGTTGTTCTTGCAGAAGAACCCGGGTTTGAATCCCAGCACCCACATGGCAGCTAACAACGGTCCGGTCCGTAACTCCAGTCCCAGGGGATCCGACGGCCTCTTCTGACCTCCGAGGGCATTGCACAACATGGATGCACTTTACCTACATGCAGGCAATACATGAATACACATTAAAAAGAAAAATGAGCTGAGTATCAGCTGAGTATCACCTTTTAGCATTTCATTGATGTATCCTCTGAGGTACTGAATTCTCCACTCATCACAGAGTTGAGCACAGTGTAGCTTCTGAGTTGCTCCATTTTCTGTCACATATATGGGAGGATCACTGTATTGGGTCTTAAAGTGAGGTAGTAATGGCTGTCAAAGATCCTGGCTTACTAGACTGGAGAGATAGCTCAGTGGTTAAGAGCACTGGATGCTCTTGCAGAGGACCGGGGCTTGAATCCAAGCACCCACATGGCAGATAGCAAACGTCCATAACTAGTTCCAGGGGATCTGACACCCTCTTCTGTCCTCTGTGGGCATTGCATGACATGGGTACATTTACACACATGCAGGCATTAACACTAATACACATCAAATTTGAAAAGAATTCTGGGGGCTGGAGAGATGGCTCAGTGGTTAAGAGCACCGACTGCTCTTGCAGAAGACCCAGGTTTGATTTCCCAGCACCCACGTGATGGCTACAAACTGTCCTTAACTCCAGTTCCAGGGGAATCTGAGGCCCTCTTCCGACCTCTGTGGCATTGCACGACATAGGTGCACTCACATCTAACAATGCATCATCAAATAGGAGAAATCAAGATCTATTAATATTTTTTTTTGTTTTGTTTAAAAAAATTTTTTATGGGGCTGGAGAGATGGCTTAGCGGTTAAACACACTGCTCTTGCAGAGGACCCGGGTTCGATTCCCGGCACCCACATGGCAGCTATGAACTGTCCTTAACTCCAGTTCCAGGGGAATCTGAAGCCCTCTTCTGACCTCCGCGGCATTGCACGACATAGGGGCAC